GTGACCTCATCGGGAATCAAACCCGCGACCATCCGGCTTCTAGCATAGTGTCTCAGCCAACTACGCTACCGCGTGCCCTAGAGGATTCTCAGATATAACATTTTTTTAACTGAGAGGAAGCGATCCATGGTTTGTCCAATAGCGTTATCATTCTAAAGGCGAACATCGCGGATTTTAAGTGCGTGTGTAAATCGGTCAAGATCCTATATAGGCAACGAATGTTAGGTAACAAAGTGTCTTTGGTGGCCAAACTAGAGCGACATGCTCGTACAAGTGTTAAGGCAAAAGGCAGCAGAAACAGCGTACAAAAACTCACTCATTTCATTATAAAGGCAGACTTGTCCCTCTACGTATCATGTCAAGACGTGCGGGTTACGTTAATGGCATATAACGCCGTGTAGTCCGTTAAAAGTTTCGGAGCAACGTGTCTCCATATTCTGCCCAGTTTGCTACCTGTTTCATGCAGGTTTCTTCGACCCTGAAGATGAAGGCGAAATGTTCCTCCGAAACATCCATCGTACGATAAATATGTTATATCCCAGAACATAGAACTCGCTACGGGAACCTAGCTATGCAGATATCTAAATATCTGCAAATAGAACCTTAAAGTCAAGATAAAGCAGTGCATGACGCAAGAAGATAAAATCGAAAAGGCTATGTTAAGTTTATACCCGTCGCCATGTTGCTATTGCCTTTTATTCACGGCGTAAATGAAACTTGTATTGCGATCAGCGCCCGGGTCATTGTGGGTAAGCAGATCCTAGGAAACTGGAAGATTGGACATTTGACGATCACGTGCATGGCCTTATTACATAAGAGCAAGGAACCAGGCAATGTAAGGGCAGCGCCGTAATTTACCTGCTGACAGGAATAAGCCGTGTGGCGTCAGCAGACCGCACGTGACGCACGAGAGACATGAACAGGGCCTCGAATATAATATCAGTCGATTTTCTGTTTAATCGATTAAAAAAACAAAGGAAAATGGGTCTGATTTTCGTTCTAAACACAATGGCTCCCTTCCACACTCAAAATTATTTTATTAGAAATTTAAAATCTGATTTCTTGCCCGTTGCGCAATTCAAAACAAATTTTAAGTGTCATATTACCATCTGTGTTTGCTAAACATGTTTCGGCAATAGATTTCCATCTTCAGGGGTTATTTAAGGTAGTGCCTGTGCTTAATAAGGCGTATAGAGAAGTGGATGTGCAGATCCACATTTTCTTGACCTCGGCACTAGCTGAAGGTGAGTGGTCAACTTCACGCCCCGGGGAAAGAGCCTCCAGTACCCACTGGATAAGAGACTGGGTGGGCCCCAGAGCCGTTCTGGACGACGCGGACAAAATCCTTGACCCTACCGGGACTCGAACTTCGGCCCCTCTGTCGTCCAGCCCATTGCTATATCGACTGAGCTATCCTAGTTCGACGAAGGACTGAAGAAGAAACGGAAGGTTCCTGTAAACAGCTGAACCCTTGTTAAATTAGAATTTTCCTCATACAAGTCAAATGCATAATCACCGCATCGTCGGTGTTAATTAATACTCATTTGGTATTGCAGGCACTGACGGGGGGAGGCAGACATCTCCCCCACCCCGCACGCCTGGATTTTCGAAACAATAAAAAAATTTAAGGATATACGTATATATAGTGTAAGTATGGGGAGCGTACGGTTATGTACGAGGGTTGGAACTTTAATAGTGGCAACTATTTATTTACAACTGATACAAAATAGATGCATGTTTCGAAGTTTTACTGTCCTTCAGTGTAGACACCAGCACTGTGTACAACCCGTTGCCAGCGATGTGGAAGCCGTAGGATACCTTTAGCAGCGCCTGTTGTGTTGATAGTTCGAATGGAGCGGTCTACTGCCTGAAGAATCTCTGGAACAGTTCTGGAGCGAATGCCACAAAGTGGTTCCTTCATCTTAGGAATCAAGTTGAAGTCGCAAGGGCTTAAATCTGGGGAGTATGGTGGATGGTACGGTGCTTCCTAGCCCCATCGATCGAACAAATCAGCCACAGCTTGCCATTTCTGCATTTCCGTCAAATCATGCGGAACCCATCGTGATGCAATTTTTCTCATGCCCAGGCGTTCCTTCAGAATGTGAAGCACAGTCGTATGCGCTAATCCTGTCTCTCGGGCCAGCTCACGAATCGTATGGCGTCGATCACTCTCCAGCAACGCGGAAAGAGCATACACTTCTTCAGACACTAGAACGACCTGGCCGACGCATGTCTGCCACAGTTTGGCGTCCCTCGTTGAAGGCTTTTACCCAACTTGCCACCGTTCTGTAAGGCAATGCAGATTCCACGCAAGCCTCTTGAAGACCTTGATGACATTACCGTGCTGTATGACATCTGGCACATTCAATCTTTATCCAGCTCCGTTGTTCCTGTTTCGAAAACATCGTGACAACACTACATTAGACCGCCAACTAACATGAAGTTCTGTTCTCGTCACTGCGCATACGCGTGATGTGGGAAGGGAGAGTCCATTTGCTCTGAGGTACGGTAGGCATGTAACTAACGTGTGGTATAAGCGACATTATTTGGTTCCGTTGCATGGCGTCTCTACAGCAGCGTTGCCAGTATTAAAGTTCCAACCCTCGTATTTGTTCATGGCAACGATTTCAAATTCGCTGCCAACTTTACGAAGCTATCTCTGGTACTAAGTCTGAAACGCGTTTCAGAAATAACTGGTGGGAATTATACAACACTTTCTGGCTGCCATTAAATGTCAGTGGCCCACGCTGCTGTAAACACGGAGCCGCTTTCATACCGTCGTCTGTTTGTTTACGTGTAGTTAGACTACGTCACAAGTCTACTGTAGACATGTTCGGCCTAACCCCAAAAGCACGCCACTGCATAACATCACATATAGCTGAACGTGATACCGTCCGATGCAACCGGTACTGGTATGTTCTTTTTGTTTAAAAATTGTGTTGTGTGGTTTTGAGGGCTGGACGCCCGAGGCGTCGGAGTTCGAGTCTTGGTATGAGCAAGATTCTTCTCCTCCCCCGTTGCCCAGTCCAGTTCTGGAACGCATCCAGCTTTCTATNGGGGGGGGGGGGGGGGGTAAAGTGGCCGCGGCGTGAAGCTGAACACTCACCTCCAACTAGTGACGAGGTCAGGAATACACGAATCTATACATCCACTCCCACATACGCCTTCATGGTTTAGTGCTTAATTAAGCATATGGACAACTTCTATGCCCTTTTGACTTTCTGTGAAGATACTATCAGAAACATGATTTGATTCACAACAAAATATTATTTTACAGCATGTGTAGACCTTGTCGTTATGAATCAGTTAAACCTACTTCATAGTCAACATTGCATGTCCATCTTTTAGTTCTGGTTCAAGATGTCAATAAATCTGAAGTTACCGTCCAAACCATAGCCTAAATTTAAGAACTTAAAAATAGTGTGGTATTTTGTAATTCCATCTCGCTGAATATTCCTCGGTATTCTCGGGGATTTCTGGACAGTTCATTTTGTGCTTCTGCATTTCTGTTGGGATCTCCATCTAGTGCCGAGGTCAAGATTGGTAAAGTGCTACTCCCCCCATACGTCCTCATGCCGTGGTGCTTAATTAGGCACAGGGACAATATGACCTTAACTGTATGTGCTGCGAAATCACTTATGAAAAGGGATGGACCAAAGGCACCTTTATGAATAACATATCACCCGAACGAGAAAGCCAACGCGATTGCGGATTGTGTAGAAAACCAGTTCACATCTCGTGACCTGTGTGACAAGAACCATGCGCGACAGGTAGAGACTACAGTCCAAGCTCTGCTTGCATCTGTAGACGGGACCTCATTGGGGAAAGTAAGACCTTGTAACGTCCATAAATTAACAAATTCATTAAAATTGCAAACGGCTTGTGGACTTGATGGTTTTCCAAACGAATGCCTTAGGCATCTTCCAAGAAGACCACTGGTACCTCTGACACATTTATTTAATCACTGCCTTCGGCTGTCCCGTTATAACGTTACCGAAACCCGGTAAGGACCCACAATTTCCTCAAAATTTATTTCCGATTAGCCTCTTGTCTACAAAAGGCAAGCTATTCGAAACAGTTATTCTGAAAATAGTCAAAAGGCACATAGAAGAAAAGGGCCTGCTTAATGCAAGCCAGTTTGGTTTCCGTGCACGCCACAGCACGAAACTTAAATGCATGAAGCTTACGGACCACGTCACCTTAAATTTCAACAATAACATGTCCACGGCTGTTGTATTCTTGAATATGGCAAAGGATATGTTTTCAGAAAGCTGCAGCGAGGTCTCAGTGCTATTGTGACGAGGTGTGAGCGCTGGAACACAAACATCAATGAAGATGTGACTCAGGCAATTTATTTTTCTTATAGACTTAGGCCCCCTGAGGCTCATCTTACATTGAATAGACAGAATATCCCCTTTGTCAGTCATGTAAAATATCTTTGTGTAATCTTCGATAAGAGGATCACATGAGACTACTCCCTATTCAAAAGTGAGCGTTTAGGCGCCAACATTAAACTAACCCTGCATAGGGTACTCATCAGATCAGTAATGACTTATGCTTATCCCGCCTCGTAATTAGCGGTAATTACAGCGCCTACAAAACAAGATTCTCCGCACCACTGGAAATTTTCCAAGGTGCACACCGGTCCGCGATTTGCACACGGCTTTCAACCTTCCATATGTATACGAATATATAACAAAATAAAAAAATATATATAACAAACAAAAGTCGTACAAAATCATGAGAATGAGTAGTGAGATAGGCGCCAACCAGCGAGGACCGGAGCCGCGGAATACGGAAGATGAGGAAGCCACGGCGTTGGGAGTTTTACCAGGCGACAGCCGATCAAGACACAGCAGACTGAAAAGATTTAATGCGTGCTCTGGTGAACTGTAGAGTCTGTGAATTAGAGATAGCACTATAGTTACTTGCAGTTACGAACTCACAAAGAGTACATTTTGGGTCCCTCAGACAGTGACGCAAGCGCTGCTGTGTTTCAGAGCACCATGTTCAGCAGTCTGGCGAGTTACCTACTGGGCAACCAGACCCACGAACCAGACCTCTCACCTGACGCAGTGACTGCTGATGTTGGGCTCCGGGCAGTTGAGGGCGACGATGATTGGGTCCTGGTTGAGAGAACAGGTGCAGTACTCCGGAACTGTCACACTGAACGAGTGACAAGCAGAAGTAACTAACTCCACAGAGCTGAGCTCTTCTTAAGGAGCCCTCAGTCCCTCAGATACTCCAGCATATCCCGAAGGTTCATCGCCATGTTCACAAGAGCCGTATCAATCCAGTCCCTACCACCCCAACCTATTTCTCTAAGATCCATTTTAATATCATCCTCCCACCTAAACCTAGGTCTTCCTTGTGGTCTCCTTCATTCTGGCTTTCCCACCAAAACCACGTACACATTACTGTTCTCCCCCATGCGTGCTATATACGTCGCCCATCGCACCATCCATCACTCTTATCATTCTAATTATATTTGGCGAAGAGTACGAGTTATGAGCTCCTCATTATGCAAATATTATACAACATTTAATTCAGCCAGCTTTGATGTTTCTTTTCTTATTATTTAAAACTTGCACCGTACATCTGACACACGAGAAATCATACGCGATAATTTTAAGTGGTTTACTCACAAAAACAGTGCATCCATTCCGACAGGGTTCTGAGAATGTCTGAAACCACGAGGGATGAAACAACAGGCTGAAAAAAAAAACTGCATAATGAGGAGCTTCATAATTTGTAATATTCGCCAAACGTAATCAGAATGATCAAGTCAAGGAGATGGGTGGGGCATGTAGCATGCATGGGAGAAAAGATGAATTCATATAGGTTTTTAGTAGGGAAAGACCACCAGGAAGACATTGACGACGTAGGCAGAAGGATACTATTAAAACTGACTTCAGGGAAATAGAATGGGGCGGTATGGACCGGATTCATCTGGCTGAGGACAGGAACCAGTGGAGGGCTCTTGTGAACACGGTAATGAACCTTCGGTTTTCACAAAAAGTTGGGAAATTTTTGAGCAGCTGAGCGACTGGTGGTTTGTCAAGGAGGGCTCGGCTCTATAGCTTTTATGCACGCTGTGTTCTCATTACAAATGTGGCCTGACAAGAACGCACCGCAGCTTGCAACACAGAACTCGCGCTCTCTTTATGACACTGTTAGTACCGGACTATACAGCGGCGAATGGTAGAATGATCGATGAACGACGAATTGGAAACTTCAGGCACTTGCCTGAAGGGACTAAGAAAAACCACGAAAAGCCTCAGTCAGGACAGCCGATATGTCGGCCGAGATTTTAGTCAAGAGCCTCTTGGAGCCTTACCGCTATGCCATCCTCTCCCCTAATAATGTTCATGTTATGGAATCTGACAGTACGGGTGCATTTTCAAGAACAATTTCTTCCTATAGCACGGGGTGCGCTGTACCAGATTTCATCAGAATAAAATGGTTTACGATTTAAAGGGGACATACCGGAATTTTCATCTTTCTATGTTATATTAGCCGTGTTATGAGATTTAACTAAATTTTTCAAACATAACTATTTCCTAATTGTCAAAGAAAAATCCGTCGAGTGTAACAATGTTTTTAGGTCACTTATTTATCTCACTTGCCTTACATGTTTCGGTTCAAGAAAAACCATCATCAGAGGCACGTATTACAAACACATGAAAACACTGGCGTTGTTTAATGTACACAGTATGTAAGCTGCGTGGACGCTGTTACAGGTGTCGAAGTGTAAAAGCACAACACTTTCTAGTAGCATTGAATGCACGTACAACTCTTGCATTCCATCTGAAAATTGCCCTCAAATTGAGCCGTCAATGTTAAAATATTTAAAAGTTTAAAACATTTAAAGTAAAATGTTCGGCTCCTTCTTGTTGATTCGTCCCGATGATGGGATATGTCAACTTGAGGTTGTGTAGGCTTATGGTCGGATGTTTCTTACGCGTTGTGTGTTGTGTACACGAGTTGTACGTGCATTCAATGCTACTAGAAAGTGTTGTGCTTTTACACTTCAACACCTGTAACAGCGTCCACGCAGCTTACATACTGTGTACATTAAACAACGCCAGTGTTTTCATGTGTTTGTAATACGTGCCTCTGATGATGGTTTTTCTTGAACCGAAACATGTAAGGCAAGTGAGATAAATAAGTGACCTAAAAACACTGTTACACTCGACGGATTTTTCTTTGACAATCTGTGATTAGAAACTCAGAGGATGAACAGGTTAAACTGCAGTACAGTAAAAAACACGTGGTTCTAATCCATAAGCGAACTAAATACGGTAAACCCTCGCTAACCCGGAGTAATAGGCCATCCTAATTAAGCGATAATCCGGATTAGTGAAGGAAAAGTTAACCCTAAAAAACAAAAAAACAAAAACTTAGAACCTACATAAATGAAAAAAATGATTATATAAGTACCACTGACGAAAATAAATAAAATATCATTGTACAACCTTTATTAAAAATCTATAAAAAGGTCATATATTTTTTCATCGATATTAGACTCAGAAGTTATGCCTGTTTTTGAACGTAATGATGCAGGTTTGAAGAACCCGAGTCAAGCTTTGTCTGATCAGACAAGTGACTCATCTGTCTTCCTAAAGACCATGTGTCTTTTAAAGAATGTACTCAGCTGTCAACAGCCGGTTACATATTTAGATCCGGATTAACTGTAACCGGCTTAGCGAGGGTTTACTGTACTCAAAAGTCGTTCTTCGTTAGGAAGACGACCCCATTCAAATTAGTATTTCTCTGTAATCGTGTAAGAGACAGTCTGCATGCATTTCACTGCTTTGACGTTTGGGTACCTCAGTAGATTACTACAATAACACGCCTGAAACACGTGTTCCTATTTTGTTTTTCAGAAGACAGCAGATCAGAAAACTCCGAAGAGTCAAACGAGGAGTTGCCCGCCCTGGAACTCGCGATCAGTACACTTCCTCACCCATTCCCGCGCTCGTACCGGGCGCTCGCGGACGCTGTGGACTTCCGTTCCCTAACGAGATCCTCCTCCTCGTCTTCTCTTCCCTCTTTATCATTTGAAGAGTCATGGTTCCTGACGCCCCCTCCCTGCTTCACTTCAGAGGGGCCAATCCACATGGAGACTTCTCCCCTGGAGAATCTGCTGATAGAGCATCCCAGTATGTCCGTGTACCAGAACTCGTCTTCTCGCTTCTCCCTGCCCCGCGCGCGACACCGCTCTGGCTCTACTGGCACTGCCCCCGGGTCACCTGCTTCCAGTCTCTCCGGCGATGAAGCTGACCCGCCGCGCCCTCACCTGGTTGAGGCTGAGGAGCACGTGACGGCACAAAGACACTCCAGGGTGCAAGCCACGCCAAGACAGAGGCAGACTGTGTTCTTGGAACAGCAGCAGCACGAGAAGCAGTGTCTCCAAATCAGGTCTGCGCAGAAAGTGAGTAGTGGCTGCCAGTTTTGTCATGGTGCTTGATGGTGTTAACAAGACGTCACTGGGTGTCAGTGTATGGTGGAATCATTTCCAATATAACTTGTTCAAACATAACCCATCAACAGATAGGCAGATGTTGAAGCAATCTCTTCAGGTGGAACCTACTCAGTTGGGCGCAGCCGATAGAGCTAGTCCGTCTCTGCAGGGCAATGGATAATGTCCAGAAACACAACAGTCACAGAAATAGGCTGAGAACATTCTTTTAGGTTGGTTACATTAACATGCAGCAGATGGTGGAATTAAAAAGTGGCATGGAAAACCAAAGGAGGCACGCGATAGCGTAGTTCGTTGAGGCACTATGCTACAAGCCGGAAGGTCGCGGGTTCGAGTCCCGATTAGGTCGTTGGATTTTTTTTAATTTACCTAATCCTTCCAGTCGCACTATGGCCCTGGGGTCGACAGCCTCTATAAGAAATGAGTACCAGGAATCTTCCTGGAGGCTGACAACCTTACCGCCATCAGTGAGCCGATTGTCTAGATAATGTGAGAGCCTCAGTGTCTCTCAACCCTATGGGCCTTCATGGCCTGCTACATGGATAGCTTTACCTTTGCCTTGATGAAAAACCGAAGTACTTGGGGAAAACCCACCCCAGCGCTACTCTGCCCACAATAGATCCCACATGACCTGGCCTCGAATGAAGTGTGCTGCTGAGAAAGCAAGCGGACAGCTAACCGCATGAACCTCATAAGATGGTGGATTTGGGATTCCCACGGCGGTGCCTATGAAGACTACAGTTTTCTGGGTTGTAATGCCATGCGGTTCGGAGATACATTGGTAAAGCGATGGGACAAGTGTATCGATGTTGGTGGAGGACATGTCGAGAAATAAATTTTTCTTCCAGGTTCGAATATCACAAGTTTTACGTTTTTACATGCTTTATATCCATTTGTGACCTATTTACTGACTCCCCCTCATATCATTAAGTTAGAATTGTAAGCAGTTTTATGTAGAACAGCCTTCTTTCAGTTTATTAACAAATAAAATGGCTAGATATCAATACATGAATTCATACAAATCAGTGTCCCTTTAAAATGAAGTCTTTTACAGGATTTAATTGTACATTTCTTGGAATTTATAACAATCTGAAATTAAATGATGAATATGAATGCACTGCATAAAATGTTTTAATGACACATGTATGAATTTTCCATTTCAGTTACGGCAGCGCAGATCCTGTCAGCTTCTGAAACGTAATCATTTGGATCGTAGTAACAAGGCTCGTGAAATAAACTCCCGAAACAAATGTCAACGACGATCTGACCGTATGCAGCGTCACTCAGGAGCTAACAATAACCGGAAGTGCTAGCTTTAATCAAACTCACACTGATCTCAGGACACAGGGTGTTCTATTTCTTAGAAGGACATCAAGAAGGGAAGAAAAGACCCATGTATCATATTCATAATGTACTGCAGCCTGCATCTACCACACAATATGTGTTCACAGAGCCATCACCTACATTGGTCTCCTAACATTGGAACATCATACTGATGGCCAGATCTGTCCACATACAAACCCTCCGCAAACACATCAGCATATGAGGCATGAATGTGCCTCGGGAAAGTTGAAAATCATGTACAAAATTCTCCATGAGTACATACTTAAAATTAGTTTTCCTGGCAGCTGTTAATAATTAATTTACATTAATTATAAAGGATTCTGATGATGGTAAATTACAATTAGGGTTGCTGAGGGCTTTTGACCTTGTCCACGTCCAGTATTCTGAACATAACATAAAGTTTCGGAGATGAAAAGGTGGACTCTTATTCAGCTGGATTGATTATGAAGATCCAGAACAATTCAAGCAGTATAGAGACTGGATGACTGAGGAATCCCAGTTCAATTCTGAGCAGGGGCAAGGGATATTTGCCTATGTAACAGCATTCAGACAGGCTCTGGGACCCAGCACCATATCCGAGGGGTACTGGGTAAGCAGACGGTGTGCTGACCATTCACTACCAACTAGTGCCAAGGTTAAGAATGCATGCATTCCCCCATATACCTTCAGGGCATGGTGCTATATTATGCACAGTAGTAACTTCACGTTATCACTTGAAAGGCGCTAATCTGAATCACTAGATCATTCATCAGTCAAACTGAGTAGGTACCTATACACCTTTTTGCCTAAGGACAGAAACTTGTTCTGTTCAGGACACTGAACAATAAGCAATGCCCAGAAAACCCGTTATCCAAACTGTATTTTAATTACTATGTAAAAAGTTCAATGAATTGGAATTCTGTCACTGCATTCACAATTTCAGGCTTGCACTAGAACTCAAGCACATTTTACTGGGATGTTCTTACATGAAGACCTTTTCTTTGTTCTTATAAACCCACAACCATGTTACACGGAGTGCCAAGTTAAAATCAGAATTCCGAGTACTTTACTGGGGTCACAGAAACAAGTCCCATACATGGTTGGGGTGGTCATGATCAAGACTTCCCTTTCTTTGCCTGTTTGTGTTGTAGTCCCCTTCATCCAGCCCAAAATGTTCATTGGTTGTGATGGTTATCATGTAGTTATCACTACCAACATTTCCAACTGGAGGGGTGAGCATGACATACCGAAAGAGATAGGTTAATTCACAAAACATCTTTCCATAGACTCAGAATGATAAATTTGCTCAGATGTGCTCTGGATCAAAACTTCTCAAATTTTGAAAACTGAAAACACCAGTTAACTCTCTTGAGAATAACTCTCCGAAAAGAAACTTTTGTGACCTTATTCAGTTTCCCCTCAAAACAAAACAGACATGTGATAATTACTTATGTGAACAGATACATCTATTAAATAGGCCCACTACTAAGTATTCTGTTATTTTAAGTCTTTCAAAATAATAAATCAAAGTTGAACATTGTTCTCCACATGTGAGAGCTGCAGCGGTGTTTTCAAGTGCCTGGGGATGTCTTAGGGTTCACTAAATCGTCAAATCTTAATAAAAACAAAAAATGTATGGGGAAATATGTGCATGGGTAACCCAAAAATAATCTTTAGCTTGATAGCACTGGAAGAAGGTTGTTCATGTATCACCGCTCTCCTTCATATGCACAATGTTCATCGTTCTTTCTCTTAACCTAGCATTAGAACTAATTATATAAGTGCAGTATGTATATACATATATATATATATTATTTAAATATTTAAAATATAAATCTTGAGTCCTGATGTATTTATAATCTATTATTTTAATTTTTATATAATGTCTTATGTTGTAAATGATGCAATAAATATGTTTAATAAGATACAATTCTTGCAGATAAGCTTAGAGCAAATGATAAATTTCTGTGGTTGATCCCCAATTTATAGTTGATAGATTAATGGCAGTAATTTAATTTTGTGTGAAAGAATCTGGCCTTAATAAGTAACAGTAATAACAATAATAATGATGATACCAAGTACTGCCTTTCCTTGCTCCTAAATTGCTGACAGTGTTCCTATCATATACCACTAGACATTCATACTGCCATAATTTGAGAGTGATATTACAAATGTTTATACTTCTTTAGTCTTTCATAAATAGATCAACCTTAGGCAAGACATGGTATGAGCACCACCATTTAACTTTTATTATTTAGATTCAATATTCATTTTGAAAACTTCTATGGCCAATTCAGATCTTAAACAACAATTGTTTTTTTTTAAACTAACACATCCTATGCAGTTTTAAAGATAACAGCTTGAAATAAAACGTGTTTTGTATGTGAAAATGCCTCCAGTTAAGACGATGGTTTTCTGTGATGTAACACCATTTGGGAGCTGTGTACGAACTTTCTGGAGGAGTGTACTATGTATGTCTACACAGCATCATATCACAGAAGACCATAATCTTAATATTCACTGCCATGGGAACCTCAGATATCACATAGCAACACCTTCAGTTAGAATGGCAGATAAGGGCTACACAGCCAAGGTTGGGATCTGGTTCCTTATTCCACATCTAAAATTGTACGCTCGAGAAAGCTCTCTGATCAGTCCAGTGTAAAATCTGCATCCATTTCTCATCAGCAGATATATGAGAATGTGGCTCTTTGTGAAAAATTCCAGGTCCCATAAAAACGGGTGTTTTAAAATTAAAATTTCACGCACTCTTTAAAATAATGTAGTAGGTACCCTGTGTGAAAAAACTTCAGGTGATGAAAAACGTGCAGTCCTGCAGGGTTCTTACACACAGAATCACAATGCGTGTGTGCATTTTAAGAGCAATAAAAGAGGAAAACCCATGGAACTAGATGCAATATTTGCAGATCATGAATAAATCAAGGATCTCTCAGTTCAGAAGGGAACACTGCACTGAGGCTGCAAAAGGAAGTCCCACATATGGTGGGGATGACTATACTTGAGCCTCCCCACTGCCTGCCTGCTGTTATATTCCCCTAAAGTATCCTCTGGCCTATGACAACCTCTCCAAAGCATTTGTCACTAGTGAAAGATGTCACCACAAACATTCATGTGAACAGAATGACTAGATGACTAAAGGTGGGGTGTGGGGGGGGGTATGCTGGAAGGGCAAGTGTAACAGCTCAAGAGAGACATGGAGAGGTTCATTCATGGGACTTCATTTCATGGCCTCCCTCTGTGTAGTACATGTAACTGACTGGGAACAGAAAAGATTCATTTGGCCAGTAAAGATATGGGAGGTGTACATAACAATACGAGTCATATTGAAACATAAAGAGTCATATTATTTGAATAAAATGTTGTGTGTATTCCTTGAACGCAGTACAATTTACATGTGGTGGGGGCCATGTTTATGTGTAACATCAGGCAGTAAATATAACTATTTCTGAAGAATTTTAATTAAGTTGGAATTCAGTCAACAGTTACATTAACATATACTTCTGTCTATGCTGGCTTACTTTGTTTATGTGGTTCAAAATCTGGACAGCTTTGACACTCATAAGGTAGAAGTTGCTGCATTCACATAAGACATTTCTTTTTGTGTTAAAAGAGCAATTTGCCATGGAAGTTGAAATACATCCTTCTGCACTGAAGGGACTGTCTATGTATAATACATTCTCCATAAGTGAAAGCATATAAAACTGCCAAATTAACTGATCTGCAATATTCACCAGCCCAATGCACACATACTAATACAGTAATATATTATATTAATCTTGCTTGAACAGTATGAAATGATGTTGCAGGCACTTGCTAAACACCACCATTAATCATGATATAAATATGAAATTGTAGTGTATGAGATCCTTAAGAGAGATAACAACTGTGTTATGTGCTTAAGTATCACCATAAAGAAACTTTAAATGTGTCACAATTCTGCATTTTTGTTTGTATGATAATACTAAAGATGTTATGGTTATTAAAATTAAAGAAAAAAAAGAAGATAAAACTAAACTAAAAAGTGCCCTAAAATTAATTTTCAGCTGTCTGTAAAGTTGATAATCATGGGCTACTAAATACCTTGTACATTTGTTTAAAAGCATAACACTAATCACACATTCTCACGTGGTATAGGAAAGGTAGCATGTGTCCCTGTGGAATCAAAGTAATTGCAAATAATCTTTGTTAATATTTTCATAATTACTATTTTTCGCAAATTATGTAAATGCGAAAAAACCGTGGTTTATAATCGATAAATGAAGTGAGCTTTATTCCAGGCCAATTTTTGTGACTGACTGCTGAGAAACTTATTGTGGTGTAATATGAACACAATAGGGGTGCCTGTATGTTGTAGCAAATTATGTGTACAGCCAAGCAAAATGCTGCAGGACAGGATAAATTGCAATACGTCTACAGCTGTCATTTCCATACGAAACTAACAGTGGTGGTCTACATGTTCTGAATGAGAAAGAGAGAGAGAGAGGACTGTGTGGTTTTAGCTTTTGGGATGTGGCCATATCAAATGTTGACGGTTTCCCAATGTTTTAGCTACCAGCTGGTTTGCATCTCAGTCCTCTGTTCATTCAGCCATGCCTAAACCTCCCACACCTAGAATAGAGCTTCATAACACCTGTCTAAACCCACGCCTAGAATCAGAGCTTCATAACAGCTGTCTAAACCTCCCATGCCTAGAATCAGCTTCATAACAGCTGCCAAACCCACCTGCAGTCATAACCATTAAAAATTGCAACTCCAAGGTTTGCTAAAATGTTGGAAAACCAATAACTTCTGATGCAGTCCCAAAAGCTGAAGCCAGAAATTAAGAATTACTAAGAATCAAGGTCCATCAAGAGCAAAAATATTTAAAGAACTTTTACCTGTTTCAGCCACTGTTGGCCATTATCAGAAGGCAAAGCCAACAAGACAAGGAACCACTTCACACGTACGATAAACACATGTAGCTGTAAAGGGATTTCTACCATTAGAAATCAAGAGAGATTAAAATAAATAATTTAATTAACATGAGTTAATTCTAATTTCTAATGGTAGAAATACCTTTTAAACAGTGTGTTTATTGTATATGTATAGTGTTTCCTTTTTTGGTATTGGCTTTGCCTTCTCATGATTGCCAATGGTGGCCAAACCACATAAAACTCTTTTCTTAATATGGAATATTTGCTCTTGATACTTATTAATTCATCTGAAAGTGTGATAGCTCAGAATGTCTCCACACATTAAGCTCCAGTTGTGAAAATCCAAAGACTAGAATTGAAAGAGGACCTTTTTTTTTCCTAAGAAAGTACCAAATCAGATCAGATTAAGTAGTTAGTATAGGATTCTGACGATGGTGTATAACACACTGATATATTGGGTTTCTGGACTTTATCCATCGNCTTCAATAAGCAGAAAGATATTCATATTCGCAAGTTTTCCCGTCTCAACAGCCAACAGAATAGAGCCCCTTCTACCTCAGCCTCAGCATCTAAGAAATTCATCCTCAGTCGATCCAAATATATTTTAACGGACTCTGAGGAAGCAGTCCTTATGAAGGGTTTGAATTTTTCAGTAACACGTCCACACTCAAACTTGGATATGGCATGTGCGGTGGAGTCTGTTGTTTCAAAGCTTCCACAGACTAAGGGCATGGAGTTCAGGTGGAAAGTTAGATCCATGCTAGAGAAGTCTAAGTCTTCCAGACCTAACATAACCATGAAGGAACTGAAAGCCGTGAAATCTTTGAGACTTAACAAGGAAATTAGGATTCTTCAAGCAGACAAAGGCAACTGCACAGTGGTTTTGGACGAATCCAAATACAAGGATAAGTTAAACACGTTGCTAGAGTCCGGAGTTTACGAAACCTTGCCCAAAGACCCTACAGCTAAGGTGGAGAGGAAAGTACAGAAACTCCTTTCTAAATATAAAACCACTCTTCCGTCCGATCTTAAACACAGGCTGACTCCATACCACAGCAAACCTCCACATCTGTATGGTCTGCCCAAGATTCACAAAGCGGATATTCCTCTGAGGCCTATAGTAAGTTCGATTGGTTCTCCTTGCTATGCACTGGCCGGCTTTCTCCACAAGATACTCAGTCCTTTTGCTGGTAAATCCGACTCTTTCGTTAAGAATTCCGCCCACTTCATTCAGTTATTAAAGACTGTTAACCTTCATTCTCAAGATACTCTCGTTAGCTTTGACATTGTCAGTCTCTCCACTAATGTTCCAGTCAACGAGGTCCTACATATCATTGAAAACAAGTTACACGACGATGTCACACTGGCGGAACGGTCTGTCTTGCAGGTCGGAGCCATCATGGAGCTGCTGGAAGTCTGTTTGAGAACCACCTATTTTCAGGTTGACGACAAGTTCTTCCAACAGAAAGATGGCATGGCTATGGGAAATTCTCTCTCGCCCATCGTTAGCAACATCTTCATGGAGCATTTTGAAAAACTAGCTCTTGACTCAACTCCGTACAAACCATCGTTGTGGCTGCGATACGTGGATGACACTTTTGTAGTCTGGCCTCATGGTCCAGAGAGATTACAGACTTTCTTCGACCACCTCAACAGTTTAAGGCCTTCCATCTGCTTCACCATGGAAACTGAGTCTAACAATGCGATCTCATTTCTGGACGTTCTGGTCATCAGGGAAAAGACGGCACTAGCCACACAGGTCTACAGGAAACCCACCCACACTGGCCAATACCTCAACTTCAATTCTAACCATCCGCCGCATGTAAAAAGAGGCTTGATAAAAAGTCTCCACGACAGAGCCTCTACCATATGCCAAGATCGACGAGATTTGGTCAGAGAAATTAACAACCTGAGACACGATCTTCAGTTGAACGGTTATCCCAAAGGTTTTATTGACTCGGTCATTAATTCCAAGGGCAGTAGTCGTCCGAAGAAAGAGGAAAGCCCTCTGTGTTCTGTTTATATTCCACATGTGAAGGGTGTGTCTGAAAAGTTTAAACGGATAGGTAATCGATATACTATTAGGACCATCTTCCATACGAAACACACACTTAAGAACTCCCTTATGAAAACTAGACCGAAAAGAGATCCGCAACAGATGGCACAGTGCGTCTATAGCATTCTTTGTGAATGTGGCAGAAGCTACATTGGCAAAACAGGCAGACCTCTGGCCGTGCGGCTCCGGAAACATAGGCATAACGTAAAAGAAGGTCTTCTAGAAAAATCTAAATTAGCCCAACATGCCTATGAAGAGGGACATAGGGTAGGCTGGGATGAAGCTAAGATTTTGGATATTGAAAGCCACATCAGGTATAGGAAATACAAGGAAGCGGCCCATATGGCATGCTCGGCCAACCCAATTAGCCAACCCAGTTTGGACTTTTCTCCCATTTGGATCCCCATTATCAGCAATGAAGTCACCAATTCACATAGAAGATCTGTATGACGAGATATATGCTTTTATTCATTTCTATTAAGTTCTAAATTAGATAGACGTGATTTACTCCATTGTTGACGCTAGTTAGACACTATTAGGTTTTTTTGTTACTAGTTCTTCTTTCTATTCCATGCCGTGGGGTCATGGACATGGTTATGAGTTTGGTTTCGTGGCATAAATTTCTACAGATCTATCCATCCTGGTTCCACGCTTGTATGTGTTTGCAACAATTTGTTATGAATATTTTTCTTATTAGCTCTCATGGACTTACCCTGGTCTCAGGTATTGATAATCTTCATGTTTTGTGACATTGGTTTGTCCAGTGATTGAGGCTAGCTCTCTCTAATGGACCCAACAGAATAGGTGTTTCCCCTTTTCCTTCACCTGAGGACGGAAATAGATCCAGTTTCCGAAACGTTGTGTTTTTATTTGTTATTTTAAAAACCAGGACGATGGATAAAGTCCAGAAACCCAATATATCAGTGCAGATCAGATTAGATTGGCAGGGTGAAATTAAACAGTCCCTTACTTTTGACCTACTGCACATCTAACATTTAGTCCTGCGCCTTGAACGAAGGGTTGTATCTCACTCAGAAGGGCCTTATGACAGACACTCAAGTTTCATGAACTGGGCTCCAAGGTACCATGCAAAGGTATTTCTTCACCACGACATATTTTGCAGTCCAAATTTCAATTGATACCCTTTCATGTTACATTGTCCTACTAACGGTTTTGCTGCATGTTTCACCTGGTTCCTATTAAACTTAATAGTTAGTTACTTGTTTTATCACAGACCTTCTGAATGAAACTTTGGACATTTCCAGAAGTGGACTGCCAGCAGTCCTAACATCACTAGATATTATTGTACTAACTCCTTAGCACGGAGTATTCTGGTCCCTGAATATTCAGCAGATCCCCCATTATGGAACTACAAAAACTTGTCAGAAGGTGAAGTCATAAAGACCAATCAAAATTTTGCACACACCACTTGCTTCACTCACCCATGGATGTTTTTTTCCTGTCCTTACTGTTTCATCCTCAGTGATTCAGCCATGACAATAATGTTGCACAATGTAAAATATAGTATGGTAGCATTTTATGCCAATTTGAAATAGTGTGATGCAAAAAGAATATTAATGAAGGGTCACTTCATGTGCAAAGTCTGAAATAATGTTAATCCCCCCCTGAAAAAAAAATTGGCAAGAATCCTGTTCCTATGAGAAAACTTGTCTTGAATTGTGTGACATCTGCAGGAATGCACCCTCACATAAAATACAACCACAGTCTATCTGAAATTATTTTGTTTCCATTACTGTCAAGGTCTAGAATGTGCATATCTCAACTTCTATTTACTGCCTTATGACTGAATACATAATATTCTAAAATATAAATCTCCCTCTCAGTTTCAGTTTAAAGGAAACATTATATAAATCTCCCTCTCAGTTTCAGTTTAAAGGAAACATTATGCTTTTAACACTTTGTGTGTAAGATTTGGAACAAGGATACACTGAGAATCACTGAAAATCCATCAATATGAATATATTTCAGCATCCTGCTGCATTGAAGTATGACCTGTAGTCCTCTACTGTCTAAAATGCAACAATATTAATATAGATTCAGATGAAAGTAATCCACATTTAATTCACTAAAAAGTTCATTAAAATGTTTAAGATGTCATTAAAATATATACACATTCTGGCTTGTAACTGTATGATGAACAGTGATAAGGGACTTACACTACCAGCGTACTGTCCTAGGGGAGAGCCAGGATAGCCTAGTTGGTAAAGTGACTGGCTACAGACTGGACTGGGGTCATAGTTCAACTCCCAGTAGGGGCAAGCATTTTCTCTTGTCCATGTCGTCCACACTGGTTCTGGGACCCATCCAGCCTTCTATCCAATGGGTACCAGGGGTAAAGTGGCCAACCAGTGTCAAGGTCGAGAAAACGTGGATCTATACATCCACTCCCCCATACGCCTTCATGGCATACTGCTTAATTAGTTAAGCACAGGGACAGCTTTATCTTAACACATTCTGTGTTTAGGCGCTACATGTTTTGCCCACACAGGGCCATCTTCAGGCAACACATTTTTAAGGAATCCAACACAAATTAACACGTGATACACACGACCAAGGAAGTGGCACATCAAATGGGGCATTTTAGTGAATTAAATGTGGATCAGTGTCATCTAAATCTATATTGATATTGTTGCATTATAAATAGAAAAAGACTACAAGAAATCCATGAAGCTGGACATAACTGCTTTACCTGAATTGCAAATTGCCTGTCCTCAGATGCTGCTTTGCTACCACAAAGTAATGAGGAGCCATGCTGTTTGTGTAGCTGGATGCATGTATGTGTTAACTATAAGAGTGCAGCTAGGGAATGAATGTGAAGCGTGTCTAGAAGAACTAGAATTATGCAAACATCTGTGTTGTGTCTTGACAAGAATGTCGCGTATTTTGCTGAATGACCACTTCAGCAGTTGTCGCCATGTACAGCAATGAACTGAGATCATACATTATTGTATGAAAAGGTTTCTGTCTAATTTGATATCCAGTATATGATGAATTTTTCTCATATTTGTTTTATTAAAATTAAACCCATCTGTAGCAGATGATGCCTATAAAAATGTAATCCTAATGTTCAATTGATAGTGTCCACTATTTCAATTTTTGAAATATACACCTGAAGATAAAAATATCTGAGAAGTTAAATAAAATGTTAAGAATTATGACTTATCTTGTTTACTATCATCCTTATCATTATTGCCAGTCCGAAGCATATGATGCTCTGGGACAAATACCACCCAATGGGTACTGTGGATCTTTCCCTGGGGGTACAATGCCCAGGGCATGAAGCTGACCACTCACTTCCATCTACTGGGGATGTTAAGAATGTGTGGGGCTATGCCTCTGCTCTTCCATGGCATGGTGTGAACTCAATTATGCACTGGGAGAATTTTACCATTACCTTTTATTAATGATTATTTATGAGTGTAACTTTCTTCAGATTGAAGAGGGATGAAATAATAGGAAGTTCGATAAAACTGCATAGTGAGGAGCTACATAACTTGCACCCTTCATGAAGTATAATTAGAATGATACAGTAAAGGAGGATGTGGGCAGTAGGGTAAGTAGCATGGATGGAGAGAGGAGGAATGCATACAGGATTTTGTTAGGAAAGCCAGGAGGAAAGAGACAAGTAGAAAGACCTACATGTAGGTGAAAGAACACTAAAAATTATCTTAGAGAAACAGGATGAGATGGTATGGACTGAATTCATCTGGCTCTGGGAACTTAGGGATGAACTTTGGGGTTCCATTCAATTTTGGGATATTCTGGAATAGTTAAGTAGCTTGTGCTTTCCCAAGATGTCCTCGTCTCCTTGGAGTTAGTTAATTGGTTAACTCACTTTTGAATAATGTCATGAAATTTACCACATATCATTTTGATACTTGCCAAACTACTTACCAGTTATTTTATGGTGCACTTTGAGGTGGGTCATTAATGATCCAGTGTGAAAATGCAATTAAAAATAGAACTCCAATACCTCTATTTATTTGAAAATCATACGAATATGTAACATACTTGAAAAACATAATTATACCTGTGTACAGTACATTTCTTAAAACAGCATCTGTGCTCACATATTTACACACAGAATTCCTGAAAGCATGGATCTTGGGATGCCTGTCGATTATTTAGCCCTATCATCATCTAGACCAGCGATGGCCAACTGGCGGCCCGCGGGCCGGATACGGCCCACGACTTGACTTACTCCAGCCCCCCGCCAAGTCTCAGGTTTATTTTCAAAAGTCTTAACGCCACAGATGTATTGGCATAGAATTCAGTTTTTAATAGGACGTTTCATTAGCTTACAGCATTTTGCAATTGAGTGTATACGTTCTTACCGAGTTGGACAGTTCAAACTGTTTTCTAATAACTGTGTTCATGTCATGGAAATCCCAAGTCCCCCAACCCTACTTCTGTAGGGAGATGACACTGAAAGGAAGACCGTAGTGGTGAAGGATTTATGACACCTTCAAAATAGTAACCATTCCCAGCTTGCTCGCGGGGATGGGATGTTTACCGTTTCTCTTGGCATCCTGGCCTTTGTTAAGTGCCAGTTTTAGCAGAAATGTCTCCCAGTTAGTACGATTTTAGAAAGTGAAGCGTGATTACAGAGTGTAAGTGTAGAACTGTTTTTCAATTAGAATTGTGTTTGAAGTTATTGTAAGTGATACGGCATGTCAAATAGTAAATTGAGAAAAGTTGATAGTGAAAATAGGGCGTTCAAATCTGAGTGGGAACATGACTATTTTTTTTATATTAAATAAAGACCACAAGCCACAGTGTTTAGTATGTTTTCAAGTGCTAGAAGTTTTAAAGGAGTACAGCATAAAGAGGCATTACATGACAAATCATAAACAGAAGTTCGGAAAACACTCTTGTGAATCAAGGAAAGTAGTCTGCGATCAGTTAAAAAACTTTTCCAGCAGAAATCTCTTTTTACCAATGAAACAAAACAACAAGAAGAAGCTTTGCTGGCTTCTTATTTCGTGACATATGAATTAATGAAAGCTAAAAAAGCGTTAAGTGATGGTGAATTAATTAAGAACTGTGCGATAAAGATGGCAGAAGCTTTCAATGAAAATAAGGTAGGAAACAAATTTCAAACAGTGCCCCTTTCAAAACAGACTGTTACTAGGAGGCTGGAAGATATTAGCAACCAGATATCTAATAATGTGAAAGACATTATCGCTAATTGTTCCTATTTCTCAATTGCTCTCGACGAAAGCACAGATGTTTCGGATACTAATCAGTTGCTGATATTTGTTCGTGCAATTAAGGAAGATTTTACAATTTTCGAAGAGTTGTTAAAAGTGTGCTCTTTACACAGCACAACTAGAGGTGTCGATATTTTTAACGCTGTTAAGAGTGCAGTGGAGGAATTCGGTGGTTTTGAAAAATTGTCCTCCATAGTAACAGATGGCGCTAAATCAATGACAGGGACAATAAGCGGTTTTGTTGGATTTTTAAGACAGAATCAAATTACTGTACCTACCTTGCATTGTATTATACATCAGGAGGCTCTATGTGCCAAATCAATTAAACTGTCTACCACCATGGCTACTGTCACAAAAATTACTAATTTGATCAGAGGAGGAAATCGATCACTCACTCACAGAAAATTTCTGACCCTCTTGGAAGAAATGGATTCTGCTTACGGGGACCTGCTTCTGCACACTGAAGTAAGATGGTTAAGCCGTGGGAAATGTCTGGTACGGTTCTTTGAACTCCGTCATGAAATAGCAACATTCCTAAGAGAAGAGGTTACGAATTCTGCTGAACTGCAGAATGATCTCGAAGACGTCGAATTCTTGAGAAACTTGGCCTTTCTCACTGATATCACTCAACACTTGAATGTCCTGAATCTGCAATTGCAAGGCAAGAAGCAGACAATATGTCAGATGGTTGGCTTTGTTGACAGTTTCCGTAAAAAGCTACATTTATTTAAGTCTGCATTGGACAAAAATAACCTTCTACATTTCCCTTGCTGTCGGAAACTCTCAGAAGAAGAAGAAGGCTTGGAGTTTAGGGACTACACTGAAATTATTGAAGATTTGTCTTCAGAGTTCGACCGACGATTTAACGATTTTGAAAGCTTTCGACCTGATATTTCTTTATTCAGTAATCCTATACATTGTGATATAGAATCTCAGCCAGGTCATCTGCAATTAGAGCTTTGTGAACTTCAATGTGACCCATCCTTAAACACATCTCAGGTTACTGGAATTGACTTTTGGAAACTGCTTTCACCAGAACGTTACCCACTGTTACGAAATTGGGCTCTCAAACTTTGCTCTGTTTTTGCAAGTACTTACATATGCGAGACAGCGTTTTCATCGCTGAAGCATGTAAAGTCTAAGAACAGGAACAGACTTTCAGATGTCGTGTTATCACATATTCTTCGAGTGGCAACCTCACAATTAGAAGTGGATTTTATATCATTGGTTTCCAGTTTTATGAAACCACAGTGCTCTCATTAAAACAGTGTGTATATGAGGATTTAGGTATAATCATTAGACCATAAAAACTATGATTGAAAGTCTTTTGTGCTCATCCCTGCTGAAAGAGGAATTTGTGCTGTTTTATGGTAAGTAATTGCACATTTCAAGGCATTTTATTTTTCTTTCTTAAATTATAATTGCATTTTCCCCCGGCATATATAAAACTAAACATAAGACATGATCTGGCCAGTGTTTCTTTAAGAAAAAATGCTCTGGGGGTAGAAGTGATAGAAGGCAATAAAATCGATTGGTGAAATTTTCAATATCGACTTAATATTATTGGTGCAACGTAAAATTTAAATATATAGGTTTAAATGCACTTGTTTTTACACGGGTTGTGACTGATTCAGTTTGGGGGGCAATACTCCCCGACCACTCTTATGAAAGAAACACTGTGTCTGGCCCCTGATGGTGTTCTATAAACTAAATTTGGCCCTCGAAATGTATTAGGTTGGCCAACGCTGATCTAGACCATATTGTTTAGATCACAGGATGAACTGAAAGGCATATGGAAGGAAGCAGTCATTAACTAATTGATGTACTATCTGCCATTGCCTGGAGGAACTGGAGACACCCATGTGAAACTTCAAATTAGGATAGCTTGTGTCCTGGCTGAGGTTCCAACCGATCACTTCCCAGAAGAGAGTTTAGTGTTACCACAATGCCAGTGCATCTGATGTCGTGTAACAGTACTCTCCACACAGGATGGGAGCGTCCCTTCGTTGTTTTATTTCTGCATACTATACACTGTTGACAAGGCTCATGGACAACAGAGCAATGAGCAAATCAACTTGCCAAGATACATGTCTTGTGGGTCCTGGTGAAGATACACAGTTCCCAAGCTTCTGCAGAATTACAGTTGAATCCCCCCGCCAAAGAACATGCTGTCCACTGCCATTCCATTTGAACTAGCTAATAATTAGTTGTTGTCCATATTTGTATCAGACATCATAATACAACATGAATGTACCACTATTTCATTTCCATAAGCTGCTGTGTTCTTGTCTGACCCACATCGCCCAAATATTTATTACATCTTAGGAAAGATGTGGCCATGGAACACTACAGCCAAGTATCGCTACCTATTACCAACATGGCTAAAGCAAACTCATAGCTCGGTCAACATGATTATGGTACAGGCTGGAAGACGAAAGGAACTGGGGTTCAATTCTTGGCAGAGACAAGAGATTTTTATCTTCACCACATTGTCTAGGCTAACTTTCAGGCCCATCCAGCCTTCTGTTCCATGGATACCATGGGCTCATCCCTAGGATGTAAAGTGACCAAGGCATGAAGCCGAGTTGGCACCCAGATTTAGTGCTGAGGTGGATATACCTGCAGGACCACATATCTTCATGTTGAGATTCTTAATTATGCATTTTTACCTCACCGGACTCACTCAGAAGTATAGTAACTACACTGTCTTTCCATCTAACAGCAAATAATGTTTTTTTTTTCTAGCTATAAGTCAGTCTGTAATATGTTGCCTTTGGTAACATTTTTGTATAAGTCCTGTGCTGGGCACAGGCCACTTTTGGGCACAGCTCTCCCTTACTGTGCCCATTCCTTCTGACGACTACCATGGTAACTGTATAAGATATGATGGAGCAATACAATTATTAATAAATCAGGGAGAAACAGGAACTGGGATATGCCCAAATTTCTGCCATACACTGCAATACAAAATCCCAATACTAAGCCCTGATTTTTACCACTGTACATTGCACCTGATACTACACAAACTGCAAATAGTACCACAGTTTTATACAAGATGCACTAACTTCAAAACTAAACCAAATCAGCTTTCCTCTACAAGTAAACTGTTTACAACCATGTTACCCAAAACATGGTATTATACAAGGAGATTACCTGTGAACCTGCAGACAGCCAGGCTGTCTAGTGGCATAGACAACAGGCCAATAGTCTAAGAACTTTATAACTTGGATACTAAAGGGTTCTGACGATGGTGGATGACACAAAGAATTACTGTGTTTTTGGACTTTTCCTATCATCCGGAATTCTAGATAATAGAGTACACTCTAGGCAATAGACATGACGTTTCAGAAACTGGACCCGTTCCCATCTTCAGGTGAGAAAGGAAGACACCTACTCAGTTGGGCCCCTTAGAAAGAGCTAATCTCGACCACTGGCAAAACCCGGTAATACTTTATAACTTGTCTGAAATACTGTCCCCATAAATCATTTGACAGCTAGCATGAGATGAACTTGTGCCTCTAAACCATAATCCTGAACAAATTCAATGTGGGACTTATACCCAGAGCAATTGAAGGATGTGGGTAAATTTCAGATACAAGTTCCATGTACAAATACAAGAGAAAATGTCCATATCAACATGTGTCTGGAAACATTAATTTGTTAGTTACTGTCAAGACTTGCACTTCACCATTGCACTATGGATGCCTGTCAGACTATCCGCAACTGCCCCGGCATCCTTGAATCGATGTGGCCGTCCATGATGAGATGTGTTGAGGCGTGCATTGAATCTCATGGAACATATTTTGACCACTTACCAGGTAAGGTACGGTAAGATAAAGCTGTCCCTGTGCGTAACTAATTAAGCACTACGCCATGTAGACGTATGGGGCAGTGAATGTACATATCCAAGTTTTTTTGACCTCGGCACTAGTTGGAGGTGAGTGTACATACCCAGTGCCAGGTCTATATGTGGGCTTCCAACCTCCTCCCCCCCAAATAAAAGAACCCTGGAGATGGCAACTGCGGTGTTTGTCTAAAAGTGGAAAATATTCTGCGCGGCTTATTTCCAAAAACCGAAGCCATACATTAAACTCTACCCGCGTAAACTAAAAAAAAAAAGAAATAATTGCTACAATAGATATCGCATGTGCCTATAACATGCTTGGCATATTATTACAAAGAATAGTTACCTTATATTTTAAGATACAGTGTGTATGAAAATACAAGCAATCTACTTACTAGTATGAGGAAGCAAAATAAAAACTTTCCTTCAGAGCTTCATAGCAAAACTTCACTACGAAAACCACGTGTTTCAGTCCATTTTACTCATACCGCCACACACAAGACTACATACTTTCCCGCACCTCCCTTGGCCTACGACCGTGATTTCGTTTTAGTATTATACCACTAGGGGGCAGCTTCGTGAGACCCACAGCCATCTACGTCTGTCTGTGTTTTGTAGTTCTTAGCATTGCACTGTAGGTGATTAATGAAAATTTTAGTGAGTTAACATCGTTAACATTCAGTTATAAATGGACGGACGTATGATATTAGTGGATGAGTAAAAAGGGTCAATTTGCTTATGTGTTTTATGTGTTATGTGTTTGTTTTTCAGTTTTTTTATCAATTGTGTATTTTTCTGATCTTATTTCTATTGATAAAATGTAAAAAAGAAAAACTATGGCATGAAGCTATCCACAGGAGACAGAGCCAATGGGAGAGGAAGTGTGCAGAGAAACTGGGAGTCTCTCAGCTAGTCAAGCACTTCTCCGCCTCTTATGAAATCCTTATGTTCACTATGCTTTAAAGGCCCTATGACTTGACCATTCGTAAAGCCAGATGAATCCAGTACACACTATCACCTTCCCATTAACTAAGAGTACTTCAAAGGCTTTCTTAACAAACCCTATGTCTCACACTTGGGTCTCCTTCCATCAGGTTTACTGGCAATTTTTCCTGTACATTTTCCACTGAACACACCTGTCTCATTCTCCTTGAACTGATCGTTCAACAATGTGCTGACATGCACAAAATATGAANTAATATAGTAATAAAAATTCCATGTTGAGTTTTTTTATTTGATCCACTGATTTAACTTAAAATAGTGTAACGTATATTTCACCAAAATGTTATATCTTAAAAATTTGAGCTCCTAGGCAAAAACTAATGCCATATTTGAATTCAGGGCATCAAATTCATATGAAATCAGCTCCAAATACCCCGGCACCAAAACAGCTGTTGGCCTGTGTAATAAATAATTACATTGCATTACAATTGCCTGGACACAGTTTTGAACCTTTCTCTCCTGATGAACAGATCTTTGCATCCAAATCTTATTCACATATTTTCTTAAAGCAAGATTTTGGACACAACATTATCAATTACAAATAAGTATATACTTCTGACAGTACATCATCCAGCCAATTGATGCTAAATGTCTTGTTATTTATAACAGCAAATTGGTTACAAGAACTGATTCTTTGGTTATAAAATTATGCTTTCTTTGTCAAGTGGTGACATGATAAATGTGAAGGGATGTTTAAAGATTCATGGTGGCCTGCTTTTAAGGTAGTATCTGAAATTTGCACAGGAACTGAGGCAGTTGGGAAAAACCTCCGTCGGGTTTACTGGTCACCAGGACAGGATATACGCAAACAGAAGGTGTATAAAAATTGTACAGCCATATTCTGCAGTAATATAAAGAGGGGTGAACCAACTCAAAGGGTATCTTTCACATAGAAATAAAAAATCTGTCAACATTCCCTTCATATATTTATTGTAAGAACATATTACAATGTGGATCTGCCTGAACAGACATCTTCCACCACCATTATGCAAATTCCAGAAATCTGACAAATGTGAGCACTTGATTCAAATTCATATTTTCAGCTCAGCAGAAGAAATGTGTAGACTGTACCCAGTACCAGTGTCCAAAACTGACAAGTTCATTCTCTGAGGTAATTCTTATATACATATATATATATATATATAGACTGAGTAGTGGAATATCCCAAAACATACTATTTGATATTCCCACTTATTGATATGAAACCTGAAATGGGCACATTATAATAAACAATTGTTCAAAATTCTTATCTAACTGTTGTTACTTGATTTATTTTTTTCAATTCCAAAGAATTAAAAGTATGAAGGAGTTATGACAATTTTTGTTAAAGAAACTTACAATTTAACCAAGAAGCAATTTACAAAAATTCAAATAATTATGCTGTTTTTGCTCTGATGGCGGCTCTCTTCCCAGTGACAGCCTGAAATAAACACAACATGGCATAAACATGGTGTAACAGAATGTAAAGCGCATTACTCTCATCTTGGGCAGGACACAATTACTTTCTTTCTCTAACATCTCTAGGCATATTTTCTTCAACTGTCCAGCCTCTGCCCACTTTGAATAAGTAAAAAGACACGTTTCTGGAACTGCACTGCTCACTGGGCGGTACTGAATTTGCTTCAAATGACAAGGTGCAAATGGCAGACAAACTATGGGTGGGGTTAACATTTACTATGGACTCAGAAAGAAATCTAGTGTTCTATCATGTTCACAAAATTTTCACTTTGTATAAGGTGGGGAATGAAGATGTGCTGAAAAATCCACACTATATCTGGCCAGTCTTGAACCTAAGACAGTTCTGAATGGGAATTCCCTGCCTTTCTCTAGTTTAAGAGCTCGCCATTTTTTTTTATTGCTTGTGGGGTGGGACTAAGTCCCTTGTACTGTGGCCACTTCTGGCCTATTGAATCAGCCCCAGATGATAGGTGAAGGTGATTGTGCAGCAATTGGAGGAATGAAGATTGGAAGGGGAAACCGAAGTACTCGGAGAAAACCTGCCCCAGCACCACTCTGTCCACCACAAATCCCACTTGACCAGACCTGGGATCAAACTTGGGCCGCCGCAGTGGGAAACCAGCGACTAACCGCTTGAACTATGGCGCGCGGCCCTAAGAGGTCACCTTATTAAAATAAATTTATGTGATTCCTCCTCCTCAACTCTGCTGTCAGTGAAAAATGCAGCTCAGCACACTGCTGCAGATTCCTATCAGACTGTAGGTTGACAGCAGGAACCTAAACAGTTCTACACCCTCTATACATCTAAAGTGTGCTGTAAAATATTTCTGAAGTCATGTAAAAATTTTCAAAACGTTTCACTGGCTGCAGATACCAGAAACCTTCTGAGGGTATATGGAAGCCAGCATGTAAGGCTGACCTCACCATCAGTGAGTCGGCGGTCTAGAAAATGTGGGAGCCTCAACATCTTGCAACCCTGTAGGCCTCCACAGCCCATGCCATCTGCTCTCTTATGTATTCAATGTTTTGCTTCTGTTCATCAAGGGTCAGGACTCTTTGTAAACAGAACTTAGCGTTCACAGTAGCCAGAACAGCTCAGAACAATTAAAAGTCAATGAAATGGTTACCTGGAAGCCTGATTTTATGCTGGCTACGGAACAACGGGATCCACATGTTTCACACTGTAAGAAGAAAAGGCGAGTGTCCTTCTGCAGGATGGTGTCAGGGGAGCGACATGTATGACATGTAACGTATTCTTTAATGTATCGCCTCAGAACATTCTCAATTTGCTTCTGCTGGAACCTCCCCTTGATAATGAGCTGGTTGTTTCCATCCACAGAGCCACTAGTACCTAACTCCGCTAGCAGGAAGTCCAATAAATGTTTGGGCTGCCGATGTAACCTTTAAGTGAAAGATACAACATTCAAACTTACACTTGTAAATTCAGTTAAGAAACCATTACCAACCAGTCTCCTTTGCAAAACATGAAATAACCTACTACTCTGTGTCATCTATTCACTAAGAGTCATACATAAAATGGGCAACTATCAATTTTAATAACAATTTAAGAATAATTTAGAACACCAAAAATAACACAGCTCTGATAGTAAAATTATTAAGAGACATTCATATCAAGAAGACTATTATAGGTTGGACAGATAGCTTGGATGGATTTAAAGGGAAATGTATTCAGAATTCTGACTGAGAAGACCCATGAAGGCAATCAACTGAAATAGAACGAAGTTCCCAATTGTGATCTTTTAACAGGACTGCTGAAACTTCAGGTTACATCTGATCTAGTGACTAAATTTAGAGCTGCCATCTGATATGAACTTTTTTGTAATGGTGAAGCAAACATTAAAATATGGTAAAATGTCACTAATTTGGACCCCCTATAATACACAATGCCTACATTTTTTATGCATTTTATCTGTGCATATTCGACATTTCCTAAACCAGAATTTAATAATACAATTTCTGACTCTCTGTTGGCCTTTGATTAGTATCAAAAGACATACATAATCTAATATGTACCTGAACCATAGAATAAACTTATTAATCAAGAAATGCCACTGGTTCACTGTCTTACGTGCAATGTGTCCTTCTAAAACTTATTTAACAGATTTTCACAAACACACAACGCATGTTTTAAACCTTATTTAAAAGCCTCTGCACACTGCACTACATGTTTCGACTGATGTGTAGTTCTATCTGTGTGCTCCCATATATCATCGTGTCCGGCCTCTTCCTGTTGTGTTGTGTCTAGACTATATGTGTGAACCAGAGATAACTGTTGAATAAAATGTGATGTGCAAGAGGATCCTAGCCAATCACAGTGGTCGTGCGGTCTACGGCGGAACTGACAGCAGGAAAAAGAGAGAGAGAACAGGATGCTACAATATAATATTAACAACACAATAAACATTTAGAAAGAACACTCCCAACAAAAATGAATAGAGATATGTATTACTGCACCTCCTGAGTACTTCTGAAGCCAGACTGTCACACTGACACTAAGTTCAGCACTGTGACTTGAAAATATCTTTGTATAATTATAACCTGTAACTCAGACTTTTCACTAATTCAAACCACCCCCTTCCCCCTGTTAGCCCAAACAGGTGAGATTTTACTGTATCATTAACTTACGTCTTGCATATTTCTGTAAAGTTGGCAAAAGAGGTTTTCTTTGTTCCTATACGCACGACCTGAGGTGGTCGCATTACAAACTTTTGTTTCTTTCCTGCCACCATGTCCGGATTCTTGTCTCGCATGATGTCGAACACTCTCGTCAGCAACTCATCGTATGTGTAATCTCGGTCTTGTCCGAACCATGCAGTCTGGCTGTCTTCCACTGAGATAGATTGGACAAAGAATTAATGCAGCACATCAGTAAACACAAACCATAATTTCAATAATAATTATATTATTCTGGCATTAACATTTTCAACAATCTGTCATCTAGAAACAAAAGTCTAATGAATGAAAAGGCGAAATTTAAATTATCACTGAAACGATACTTACATACACACTCAGTCTACTCTGTTGATGAATTCCTACTGTCTAAAAACGGCTTGTCCTTTTAAATGGTTATGTACACAGCATAAGTTGACAGTACTGACTTATATTTATATGTATTTTTTTTTTTGGTTCTCTTTCAGCTGTACTGTATTTATGACTTTTGTATCTGTATGACTTGTTCCACATTCTACAGTCATTCTGACTTACTTTGGATCTACGGAATGTAATATATGTATGTATATACAATAAGGTAAAAAAGGTAAACCTATCCCTGTAACAGGCAGCAGAGGCCCATAGGGTTGTGAGATACTGAAGCTCCCACATTTTCTCTAAACAGTCAGTTCACAGATGGGGGTAAGGTTGTCAGCCTTATGCGGTGTCTGCCCTTTACACCCAGGAAGATTCCTGGTACTCATTTCTGTTAGAGGCCAAGTTGACCCCAGGCCCGTAGTGCGGCTCGAAGGATTAGGTCAACTGAAAAATCCACCTCATCGGGACTCAAAACGACGACCTTCCAGCTTGTAGCACAGTGCCTCAACCAACTACGTTTGCGCAAGCCTCCGTACATAACTACATAATTAAAATATAATTTTATGCAAGAACATAAATTTATCCTTGAGCTTATCTGAATAAACATTTAAAATATTTGGGCTTATCACAAGTACTTGAACATAGATGTTGGCTATTATTTATTATAATTTCTGCCTCTTGGACTATGCCATGTCGAACACTACAGGTTTTCCATCCATTCTGAAAACCTTGTAGTTACCATCTTCTTTTTCTTTGTTAATGATTTTGGGAGGTGTTTCCTCAGCAATGTATGTACTGCAAAAACCTTTCATTAACCCTGAAGACGGCATCTGCAAGGTTTGCTGAAACAATTTAAACCTTCAGTACTAGACATAGTCTAGTCCTGAAAGCTGCAGCCACATGCTAAGCATCAGCCAGGAGACCCTAAAGACTAGAATGGCATTTTGAATCTCCCTTGATCAGTGTACACTAGGTACTTTGTGATCTTGTTTTGGAAGACTGCATAGCACCAAAAACAAAAATGTAAATACCCAAAGAATTAAGGTGACTTAGACAAAGGCCAGGAAATGACAGCAGGTAACCATGTGCCCTTCTCTGTGCATGCAAGTCACACATGTGTTAAGGCAAAGAAGTGAAAGGATGTGAGACATACACTTTCCCAGGTTCGATTCCCAGCTGAAGCAACAGGGTGCAAACAGGGCAACAAGTACAGTCTACATCCAAAGTTTAAACACTGGAATATATGAAGAATCCATGAAAAGTAACTACATTGTAATTACTATTCTGTAGTATTTATTTTAGCTGAAAATTCTGATGTACTGTAAATATGTATGAAGAAAATGTTTCTTTTACAGTTATTTTGCTCTGTACAATATAATATTCTTAGAAGATGTCTGTAAACAGCTTTAAGAACTACGTATTCACACAGGGTCATTGAAAGAATGCCCAGATTATAAAAAACTATCACTCAAAAACTGTTAAACATATCAACACGATTCAAGCATTAAATTGCTAAGATAAATCTGAAGTGTCTGTCTTACCGCAGTATGTTTCGATATGCGCTAAATTTAATCGCTCGGCAGATATCGAGACCATATTTGATCTTGTGCCAAGTCTGCTGAATCATCTCTGGAGTTACCATTGTGATGACTACTGTGATCATGCCCCGTAAAAGCTGAAGATCATGAATCACTTCACCATACACACCAAAAGTCCAGTGGGGCAAGATCTGCACTTCTGAGAGGCCAAAGATTTGTCTGCCCCTCCCAATCTCTCCTTTCTGCAAGAGGTGTATGGACTGGTCATCCGACAAAAGCAGCTCAACATTGTTCACTACCCACCATTAACTGAGCATATCCAAAACTTACATTCTTTCACTGCATTTTAAACCTTGAATCATTTTGATATATTTAACAGTTTTTGAATGATAGGTTTTCATACTCCTGGTATTTGCGTTGTTATTTAGTACTGTATTCTTATGATGACATGCCCTGTAACCTTGCCTCAGTATTGTGAAGGATCTACGGAGTTCTATCTTCAGAGATATATTGCTGTGTAGAGTGGTGAAGGTCCCGCACAGAAGTATATCCCGGAAGATAAAACTCTTCATTTTTGTGACAGACTGATATTAGAAAGAATGCATTCTTACCAGGTTCCGGTTTCCTTACAATCTCAGTGGGGCATGTTTGGAAAACAAGATAACATTTTCAAATTTCTTAAATCAATATATATATTCATTAAAGCACATGATAAAAACAAAGCAAGAATATATATTATTTAAAATCTAATACCATTTTCCTTATTCTCCGCTTTCTTTTTCTCATCTTCAGCTATAACTTCATCTAAATCTTTTTTCTTTGTCTTCTTCTTCTTTTTTGTCTTGGAGAAATCCATATCAAGATCAAAACTATCCTGAAATGACAGATACAAACATGGGGATCAGCCTAACTGGAAGTCAATTTTATTATTCACACTTTTCTTGAGTACAGATATACTTAGTGGGGACAAGTGTTTTCCTTGAACTGAAATTCCATGTTCAGACCATACTGGGGGCTGACTTTAGCGTTTGGAAGCAGTCCGACCATGAATCTTGCATTCAACATGTACTATTAAGATGTGGTGGTGTTTTCAACATAAAAGTTTGGAAAACGTGTTACAGGTTAATGTGTTTATGCTGTGGGGACCAGAAGAAATTTGTAGCACAATCTTCTGAGATTTGAAGTTCTTCTGTGGGATGTTCCGCTGTGCACTCACATACTTTTATTATCTAACTCTTTAGTAGTTAATGACAGAATGTACACACACAAATTTTTCTGTCACACAACGTATATTATCTTCTCAGGTTTAAAAAACTACATATATACATATTGGACACAGATTCCTAATATCAAGTTTATGCATGTGTTAGATAAACAGACGCCTGCAAGACAATAAACTTATGCTGTAACACATTGCCCACTTTGTAAATATTGTTAACTTCCGCTAATCTGGTTACAGTTAATTCAGATGTGGACAATCCAGATTAAAATGTGAAAAATGAACAAATTCTGTTCACAGTTGAGTACTTACTTCAAAATACACATGGGATTTAGGAGCAAGAGGACTTTCTGGCTGTGTTTACGGCAGCTGGAGGGACTGAAACCACGCAAGGATATATCCAAGACTGGCTTCAGATGGATGAAGGAGACTCTGAATTTCAGCTTCTGACAGAGGAAGAAATTGCTGCAGTGATATTTTTCTATTTACTTCCGTCAGCACTACCTATATTATTAAATTTTCCATTTATTTGTTTTCTAAGTTTTCCTCTGCCTTTTAGGAATATCTTTTGCTTCATTAATCCATATTATCAGTTAATAGAGATGACCTACCCCCAGTTAATCTGGATTAGTGAGGGTTTACTGTACCAGAGAGAGAATCTATATGGTGAAACTGAAAAATTATCCAGAGCAGAACTCCAATTTTATGTTCCTCAATTTAAGGTTTCGATTTCAATGATCCCCATTCAATATGAGTATAAAATTACTTCCATTTTCTGTTCTCAGTTTAGTAATAAACTCCACTGCTCCCTGTGCATCTGTACAGATTTACACAATATGATGCAACACTGTACTGTGCCAGAGAAACTGACAGTTATTTTACAGCCCCCTTATCACTGAATGAAATGCAAAGACAAAATGAAAAGTGAAATGTTCTCGGGGAGCCAAAGCAAATGACGAAAAACCTCAAAAGCCATTTTCCTTGGCTTAGATTGCAAGAACCTAAGTAGGTCAGTGAGATTTACTACAGTCAGTACAGAACAGAAGCAAAATGACATTACGTACTTCCATCACACATAATACGCTCAGCTGGCTCGGCAGATAATTCAGGGTGGAACATCTGCTGTCAGGATGATATAAATTAATGCTTAAAAGTAACAGACTGGATACTGCAATACCTCCACTAAACCTTCATCTTGAGTTCCATCTATTTCTATATTTCCTTCTTCCTTGGATTTATTGCCTGACTCCGGAATGGCTCCGTCTAATTCTTCCATGTTAAATGGCTTCTTTTTCTTCTTCTTCTTCTTACCAAAATTCTCCAGATCTAGGTTTCCATCTAACAAAACATAAATCATACAGTCGCTATAGATCCAGATTAATTCATTCAGTTCACATAAAACTGGATAAGGGTTCAAAACTACAGACACTTGAGATCGGGCCTTCAAAATCATGACTTGTGAGGGATTCCTGTACTCAGGGCATTATTTTGCTCTCAAAAGAATGGAGAAAAGTTGGAAATTTATGGTATCACATAATGAAGAATACTGTGGTTTGTACAGGTCACTGAGCATCATCACAATTGATGGTCTGGGCATGTTACGGGAACACAGGACACTTGCAATGCATACATAATTTTGATTGGGAAACGTCTTGGGAGACAGAGAGAAATATGGTAGGGCCTGAGGAATCACAAGGAAATACATCACGATGAGTAGAGCATGGAACTGGTTTGTGTTCGTGTCCAATGGTGAGCTATGATGTTAACAGAACTGAACATTCACGTCTGTCAGAGTTAAGCGGTTATTACTGGGCATAGCACCTACACCATACATCACTCTTCACGCAGACATTCTGTTCATATAAATGGTGGCTGTGATAACCACATCATTAACTTTGCTTGAGACAAGATTTTATATATTTGAAGAAAGCAGTCTTCTGGGATTTGGCACCGTGTATATGTGGTGTTAACCGACGTTTCGGAGGAACGTATCGCCCCCATCTTCAGGGTTGAAGAAAAAGTTTAAGAAATCTGCAAGCGACAACACCGTGAGAAACGGTAATTTGTTTACACAGACCGGGGCAAATATAACATTAATAATATAAATTCCAAAATCAATGCAACTATAATTTATTAACTAGTTGTGTTGATGGTGGAATTTGTTTTATTAGTTACAGTCATGCAACAGGATGCAAACATTAAAAATAATTAAAAAAAAGTATATATATAAAATTGTAAGCAGAAAAGGGAAAACACTGAGAAGCATCATCTGCACCACTCATGGGATGCTTTCCCATGCCCTCGGTACAGTTCATAAACAGTACATAAACTTACCCTCAAGCTCCAAATCCTTGCTTTCATTATCGCCTCTTGGAGGCTCCTGATTTTCTTTATCTGTGGTCATGTTGTCGGCATTTTCACAACTGTCAGGCACTGTACCTTCAGCTAACGCAGCATCAATATCAAAAGTTGTCTTCTTTTTTTTCTTCTTCTTTTTCAATGTAGGGTCGAAGATCTACAACAACCATAAATGATTAGTCCTTAAATAACTGTGCTTAGATAAAAAGTAAAGTTGGCCCCTGTGCCTAACTTATTAAGCACTACGCCATGAAGGAATATGGGCGAATGGTTGTATAGATCCACATTTTCTTGACCTTGCACTAAATGAAGATGGGTGGTCAGCTTCATGCCTCTGCTGCTTTACCCACAGGGAAAAAGCCCCTGATACCCATTGGATAGAAGACTTGGTGCCCCCCCCCAGCTTTTCTGAACGAAGTGGAAAAGAAATTCTAGACCCTAATGGGACTTGCACTGACACTCCTCAGTCGTCCAACCCGTAACCAGTTGCTATGACTGAGCTATCCTGGCTCCGTGCGCTTAGGATCTATGGGTAAAGAAAAATACCTGGAGGCTGGGGTTCTTTTTCTAAAAACACCTAATACTATACTGAGAAGATGAAATAGCCAATCCTAGTGTTACATGGAACTGTTCTATAAGCTGAAGTTGTCAGGTTCGGTAATACTTCTCAAATGGAACAAAATAATGACATCAAATCATGACAGAAGCCAAGTTTTCACTCAGCTCTTAAATCGTATCAGAGCCCATGCTCCACCATCCTAGTACAAGGAAAGCTGCAGAATATTACAGACAAAATAACGGAGCTTTAGGTTTTCTGTGACTTTCTTCTGTCAGCCCTTCTGAGCAAATTCCAGGAGAGTATATTGAAATAGGCCACAACCGCTTCCTTCCATATCCTCTCTGATTCATCATTCATGAATCATCCTACCATTCAATGTTATATAGTCTGTGCTACTGAAAGTGTCATTAAAGAAAACAAAAACAAATATGTTGTATTTACGTTCTTGTGGTGCTGACTATGAAGAGAATGTTCTCATGCAATTTGGAGGGATCTGCTGACTGTGTCTGTATGCCTCTGCTTATTTCTCGCTTGGCTTACTCTTTGAACCTAAAGATGGAGGCAACATGTTCCTCCAAAACGTGACACTCTCTTCGAATAACACAGCGTTACAAACCGGAAGACTGTGCTTTTTGTAAATAAATAACCTGTATGTAAACCTATGAAGTTCTTTCTCATTAAAATGATAAAATAAGGAACCTCTTCTGTTCTCAAATAAACCCAAAACTGAATTCTAATTCAAGAGAGCAGAAATTAAAAACTTTCAGTTTTTTTGTTAAGTCTTTCAAAATAATGGCGGGAAGACGAATTAAGGGAGATGGATTCCAAATTTGTACACCTCACCAAATACTGCCATGGTAATTAAAACAAAGACAGGATGGGCAAAGCATATAGCACACATGGCACGAAAAATATATACAATTTTAGTCATAAAGCCTGAAAGGAAGTGATCACTTGGGAGATCTAGAAATATGTAAGAAGAAAATATTAAAGATAATATTGGACAAAAACGATGTACGGTTACAGACTCGACTCCTTTGGTTCAGAAGTCGGCTCTTGTGAATATGAAGAGTCTGTGCTTAAATACGTACAACACCACGGGGATGTCCTGATGAGTGGAAGTACAGCTCCACATATTCTTACCATCAGCATGTGATATATGTGAGTGGTCAGCTTATTATCCCAAATGCTTTACCACTGGGGAAAGAAATCGTGATACTCTATGGACAGGATTAAAATAATTTTGAATAACTGCAATTTGAAATAACACACGAGTGTATGTTCTGAAATATATGGGTCAGAACTACTAATGATTATAAAATTTTTAATAAACTACTCTTTGTAGCTAATTCTCTCATAACTATAAAAATTCGTATTTTTAATGTTTGGAATTAAAATATAATCGAACCTCTTCATAAGTTATAAAAGATACAAAAGTTGACAGCTGTGTTGAATTGGCATTGATGGTTTCCTAATTTGTGAGATGGACTTACTTGCTAGTGCAAATACTTCATATTGTAAATGCGGAACGACTAGAAAAACCCCTACGATCATAGACGCACCATGTGTTCGAATTCCACCAATCTGGGATGCGCGTATTATGGCAAGCCATGTGAAATAACGCCACATTAACCTGAATACGTTAGGTCACTTTTCAATCATAAGAACCATATATGCTGTGCAGATCACTTAATTAATATCGGATATAAAGCTGACGTGGTTCTCAATAACAAATAGTTACTCATCGTAACGCTAAATAGGTTTCGATTCAATGAACAGCATAACTCTACATATGTATCCTATTTATGAATAACTTACAGAGTCTTCTTCCGCCATTATTTTAATAGATCGCTACTTGAAACGCGCAAAATTCGTTTCTCTTCTCTAATCTCTATCGCTGTTTCTTCACTGACTAAAACATTTACTCATCTGACGAAATAAATTACACATTTTTATTATGAACACTATTGCATCAGCCTTCTACCGCCACATGTATAGCATACTCCACAGATTACTTCTAGACCGGATGAGTGAAGAAGTGTGAATGGCTGGGTCGCAACCTACTTCTCCTGCCATCTATAGTCCCTACTTGCTCAGCACATACAGACTCAGTACCCCATCTATATTTAGTTTACAAAGTTATGGGTCTCAAAGAGCACGGATTATTACATTACAGATACGAATCATACGTACTGTGCTGACATCTATCCAATTGAGCAAGATTCTGTGGCCAACTCAAACTGTAGGAAAGTGAAATACACTTTGGTAGCCGCAATCCCCTACTGCCCACGAGCCACTCGAAAGTATTCATAGCCATGATGTAGTCTAACCAGATGACTCTGGTTTCTATAAATTTCCGTCACAGTAAACTTCACATTTCCCTTGAAACAGTTTTAAACTCCATTCACTATAGAATTACTAAGTTCTTGGACTTCGCCCAACGTCGGAATTCTAGAAACTGGAAAACGTTTCGGAAACTGGATCTCTTTCCGTCCTCAGGTAGGGGGAAGACACCTACTCTGTTGGGTCCCTTAGAAAGAGCTAACCTCAATCACTGGACAACCCTTGTCAGATTCACTGCAGCTAAGACCAGGCTAATTCGGAGGGAAGTAACAGGAAACAGAGTAGATGTCTCCCAACTCTCACCTAAGGACGGAAACAGATCCAGTTCCCGAAACGTTTTGTTTTATAGTTCCTAGAATACCGGACGATGGACAAAGTCCAAAAACCCAGTAATTCTAAATATTATACACCGTCGTCAGAACCATTCAGAATCTCCATTCTCTGCAACCTGACATCTCTCTCTTCAAAACTCGATCTGGAAACGAAGCAATGAAGAACAGTTCTATCTTTTGGGATATAATGCAGTGTAGTCCGTTAAAATTCCGACTTTTCGGAGGACTATATAGCCTCAATAAAAATTTACAGAAACGTACCGTAAACCACCTACCCATACCAGCCTTTACCTACACCCAGCTCTCATCACCCCCATCCAACAAACATGCCGTATATTGGATTTCAGGATTTCACTGCGGTCACTAAAAGGAATGCCGTCTCCTGAGATGTCGTGCCGTTTAAATATTGCATAACTGATATTTCGGAGGAATGTGTCGCTTCCATCTTCAGGGTGTAAGAAAAAAGAAAGAATCCGCAAGCGAAGAACCAGCGTGAGCAGGTGTCTGCAGCATAAAAAAAGACAGACCCGTCCACTCGTCAGAGAGGGCGCCCCACAAAAACAAGACCGTAACTATCAGAAATCAATAACTGTCTGCTCATAAACCCAGACGGTGCTCGACACCAAGGCTTATTGACTGACTGACCGTCAGTCGCAATGTGACTTTGACTTTACTAGTCAGGGTCATACGAAATCATGAGAATGAACATGTTCGCAGCACAGGACAAGACGAAGTCAGAAAATATAAGAGGCTTAAACTTGGCGGTGGTCAAGCTTATGACCGTTCAAGTGACTAAGCTACCTTTGTATAGGCCGCTCCATAGCTCAAGCGGTTAGTCGCTGGCTTCCCACCGAGGCGGCCCGGAGTCTGGTCAAGTGGGATTTGTGATGGACAAAGTGGCGCTGGGGCAGGTTTTCTCCGAGTACTTCGGTTTCCCCTGACAATCCTCATTCCACCAGTTGCTCCACAATCACTCTCACCTATCATCTGGGGCTGGTAGAATAGGCCAGAAGTGGCCGCAGTGCAGGGGACTTAGTCCCACCCCACTAGCAATAAAAAAAATACCAGCTTGTATCTCCTCAATATGTTGGAACTGGCAAAAGTCGTAAACCGCCAGTCGTACATTAACTCTGACTTACCAGTCAGGAGCCCCTCGCGTAAAGGCGGGTTCGAATACCTTCACCGTAGCCTTGCGAGTCGCAGAAGGCGATGAAAAGGGAATCCGGCGCCTGGGGGTATAACCGGGCTATCCTGTTGCTGGGGGATATAAATACGGGGATCTGGCCCTCCAGGTTAGGGGAGCGTCGAATCATCATCATCATCATCAGTAATCTGTCAGGCGACAGGTCCACAGTCTCTTCCAAAACAGTTTCTCCACTTAATGCGATCTTCTGTTTTTGGAAAGAGACTATCCAGGAAAAGTGATAATGTGGTAGTTTTTCCATTTGCTTTCCACATCGCAGTACAACAGCCGTTCAAACCACTCTGGTCACGCCTGTTGCTATACGAACTTGAACCATCTCGAGCATCATTTGCTCTGTGCTTCAAGTCGCTGCTGATGACGCTGCTTCCGACATCAGTTTTTGGTGTCTCTCTTCGTCTGATGCCTACCCTTTGACCTATCCAGCAAGGGAGGCCCTGCCAGTAGCTACGCTACCGCTGGTATAGCTCTCAGGGTCGAATATGAGACAGTAAAATGTGGTCATGAGAATGATTGCGCTGGCGAGGACCAACAACAATTGTAAAAGACAGATTCCGTCCTCTAGTCATAAAAGACACGCAACATCAACAAATCGGCAACGGTCTGACAATTACAAAAGTCTGGTCTTGGGTTCCAGAGAGATTGGGCGACTGGCCGTCGGCCGCAATGCGATTTTGGCTTAACTTTACCAATCTTCACGAAACTTGGTATGGATATCATGCCATTTGAGGCTATCTCAACGGTGTACTACATAAATCACTACAATCAGTAATACCAACAATGATGTCTTCAAAACTGCCTTGTCTTATTGATTTCATTACACATAAATACTAAAGATTGCTTTCTAATTATCACATGAGAAACTAGGATTATACTAAAAGGAAAACAGACAACTAATTCTTCTCAAAACTTCTTGTTATTAATTCACTAACTGATACTCCTGCGTTCGAATTTTATCTTCATGGGTGAGTTTAAGATAATATGTTGACAAAATTAATAATATTTTCAGTTAAATTTGGTATGCCTGACGACAGAATGGGCCTTGCAGTGCTAGGCAAGATCATGAAACCTGGACCATAACACAAACACATTATAACGGGTTTTAGAAACATCTGTTGAAAGTTTCATTTCAAGATTTGCACCCCCAATTTGGAATTCTCTTCAGATTATCAAATAACAGCTTTCTACTTATTAAAATTGGGAAATCTCCCGGGAAATTTTGTTGAAATGAAAGTTTTGTACATCCCTTTTCTTCCAGACATTTTAACCAGAAGTATTTGTTGTGTCCCATTTTCTTAATCACCACGACGAGTGGCCATTAAGGGACAGATGTCACAAGATTTATCTCCTTGCCTCAAGCTGTCACTCTTGGAAAATAACCTGTATTTCTGCCCGAAATTCTTTATTCTGTTGCCAAACCAGCTGGATGAAAGAACTACAGTTGAAGCAAACCTCAGGTAAACAATTCTCTCATTTTGTACCTTGATTTCAGTGTATTTTTATGAGGGTTCATTATCAATTGGAGTAGTTGTACGAACAGTTTTCAAACGCCTTATTTCAGATTTTGCGCATGTCAATGGCTCTTACACTCCGTTACTTTTGCAACAAATCTAGTTTTCCTCTCAGAGGACAAGTTCCTTCTCTGTCACTGTTGAACTAAGAATTCAGTGACTATGAACCAAATTAATGGCGGATATCGAGTCAGCTTTTACGTACATAATCTATTGTTGCGAAGCTGAGTCACACCTCGTAGTTAGCAGGTAAACTACCATGTTTCTTGTCACATAGCTGTCGTACCGATCAGTATTTCGAATAAAGTTGTCGAGGTTAAGGTCCAACAATTTCATGTCATACACATTGCTAATATGGGTACTTTACGATAGAATGAGTCGGACAAGAACGACAACATTCGACTTCAGTTTCATGTAAAGAGTAGAGGTTGTATCTGACAAATTATTATTATTATTATTATTATTATTATTGTTGTTGTTGTTGTTATTTGCCTGATTCAAGGACTAGCTGACAAGGTTCGTTTCAATATTCAGTTGTTTCAAAACTGATCTTCACAGTATTTGACAATGAAACAAATTTATATTAGATCAATAAATTTTATAACAGCAATCCATCCGGCATTTTTGAAAGTGAATATATATATAGGTATTCCTGTAACAGGCCGTGGAGGCCCATAAGGTTGCGAGACGCCGAGGCTCCCACATTTTCTAGACAAGCGACTCACAGATGGCTGTCACGTTGTCCCTTACGCGCCGGCCGCCCTTTACCCCCAGGAATATTCCTGGTACTCATTTCTGTTCGAGGCT